ACCCAGCCACCTACTGCAACGAACCTGACGGTACGGAGCCCTGGCAGCTCTGCTGAAAAAAGCTGCCCTGGTGTGGGGTCTGCGGGCTGTCCTGAACTGTGCAGAACCTTTCGGCAGGGGGTCTGTGGACTGAGTGTAGGCAAGGGCACTGTGGTGGGAAGCAGGCCCATCTGTTGCCTTGAGGACTAGCTTAGATCGAGTTTTCTGGGTTGGTTTAAACAGCTTCTGCAGCTGCTGCTGTCCTACAGGTGGGCACAGAGATCGGAGTCTCGGTCTCCCCTGAGGCTGGGATCTGTCACACAGCTGTGAGCAGCAGCGCTGCTTCTTTCCTCTGGGAACAGGCAGCGTATGGCAGATGGGGGGGAGTGCGTGCAGCCCTCCAGGCCTTGGCTGCTTTTGGCTAGAAAATGCTATTCCTCCCTTCCCTGGTTTCTCTGCTTCGACTGCACGCTGCTTGTGAATCCCCTCCCGCTTGTGTGGGGTTTGATGCCACAGGAAGGTGTGCTCATCTCAGGGCTGCATGTCTTGTGGTATTCCTGCCTTTCCTTGCCCAACCATTGCTCACCTCATCTCATTGGGAGCATCTTTCCAAAGAAACTTCCTGAAACTTTGTGCCTTGTCTATGCCAAAGATTGTTATCTCTCTTCTTGTCCTGTGCAGGCCCTGCTGAGCTTCTTGAAGCCTGGCTCTCCCAGTTTAGCCTGGAAGAGAAGAAAGGGGAGATCACAGAACTGCTGGCAACCAGCCCTTCCATCCGGGCTCTCTACACTAAAATGGTAAAACGGCCTTTATTACGGTAGCAGGAAGGTTCTGATCTGGGTTATGATTCCCACCTGAGCCCTGAGGAGTTGGTGGCAGAAAGGCTTGTAGTTGCACGTCGTATTTCTGCCCCCACTTGTTCTTCATGGTCCCGGATCAGAAGTTCTCTGGCTGTCTGATGTCTGAGCATCTGTTGGTGTGAACCTTGCGCTTTGTCCCAGCTCTGTGTGCCTGGGAGGCTGGTGCCCTGTGCAGCTTACAGTGATTCTTGAAAGGCTCGTGACCTTCCCCTTTCTGTGCTGTTTCCAGGTCCCTGCGGCTGTCTCCCACTTGGAGTTCTGGCAGCGCTACTTCTACAAAGTGCATCGCCTGGAGCAGGTGGGTGGGCAGGTGGGGGTGGCACTGCAGCAGAGCGCTGCTGGGGCAGGCTGAAGAGTGGAAGGTTCATTCCTGGAAGAGCAGGGCTTGGCTGCCTTCTGTGTCCCTGACGTTACTGATGTTCCTGGGGGAAGAAAGGTCCAGGACGTGAGCAGCTGCTGATGCTGAGTTCCCTGCAGGATGAAGTCCGGAGGGAGGCCCTGAAGCAGCGCGCGGAGCAGAGCATTCACCAGGAGGAGCCAGGCTGGGAAGAGGATGAAGGTGGGTTAGATGGTGGAGGGGGTTCTGTGGGCAGCCTTGTGCAGCCATCAGCAGTCTGTGTTAGAGAAGGTGGCAGCTCCTCCTTGCTCCCACCAGTTCAGCTCCTGGCCCAGCTTTATCCAGAGCTGCTGTGCTGTCAGTTGCTGCTGCACTCGCTGAAACATCTCTTGCTTCTCTTCTGCCTTCTTACAGAGGAGTTCTTGGGGATGTCACCCCTGCCTTGTGCGAACGTGAAATTTCCACAAGCAGCAGAGAAGGCATCTGCTCCTGCAGCCCTGGAGGGGAGCCACCCCTCTGTTCACAAGGGACCCTCGGAGGAAAGCTGGGCCATCCTCCCTCCTGAGCTGGCCCCAGCAGAGGGGAGCCCCTCTGAGAGCAGCGAGAGCGTTTCCCTTGTGACTCAGATTGCAAACCCTGCCTCTGTGCCTGCTGTGCAGCTACAGACTGGAGTGCAGCCATCTGGGGACAGAGTGCTCTCCCAGAGGCTGCTGGAGGCCACCTCAGAGGAGCAGAACCCGCTGCCAAAGCCCCCCGAACCGGGGCGTCCCTCTGCGCAGCAGCCAGCAGCGCGCTCAGAGCAGCCGGCTGTGAGTGGGGCCAAGGAGGTGGAGAGCAAAGCCCACAGCAGGACAGAGACTCTGAAAGAGGAAGGACCAGCAGATCTACGGATCTTTGAGCTGAACTCTGACAGTGGGAAGTCCACCCCTTCCAACAACGGCAAGAAAGGTGGGTGTGGACCAGCCTGGCAACCTGCTGTGTGGCAGCTTTTGAGGAAGGGGCTCAGAATGGAAAGCAGGGTGCAGAATCTTGGGCTTGGAGCTCTGATGCTGGTCATGCAGATAATGGGGTCAGTTGGGCCTTTGGACAAAACATTAAGACCAGGTAACATCCTAATTGACCCACAGATTTTCTGCTGTGCAGATCTCTGTCCCAGCCCGCTGTTCCCTGAATTGCTGTCTGGAACATACGAAAAGCCAAGCCCGGGTTCTTTGCTTTGGTGATAATGGAGGGAAGAGAAAAGAAATCAAAAGTGTCTGCTGAGCAGAGCAGCTTTTGCTTTGGCCAGAGTGCCTGGAGAGCAGATGCAGCCTGGGTGGCTCAGCTGTGGCGTTTGTGGTTCCAGGTTCCAGCACAGATATCAGCGAGGACTGGGAGAAGGACTTTGATTTGGATATGACTGAAGAGGAGGTGCAGCTGGCGTTGTCGAAGGTGGAGGTGTCTGGGGAGGTGAGTTGGGGCTGGCAGTCACTCAGATGGGGGAGAGCTCTGCTCCCAGAGGGCGCCAACATTTCAGCTCTGCAGGGACGTGGGGATCAGGATGAGCTGGAGCAGAGGGTGGCGTCCAGATGTGCTCAGAGAGGGAGGAGTGTTCCCCAGGGAGAGCTCAGCAAACAGATCCCTGCTGTCCGGACGTGGAGCTGGGGGTTGTGCAGGCTCAGGTGCCCTGGGAAGGAGGATTTCTCAGCAGATGGCTGCTGAGTTGCAGAAACAATTGAGGGATGTTATTCTTGTTTGCAGCTGGAAGATGAAGAGTGGGAAGACTGGGAATAAAGCAACGGCTTCCAGCTTATCACAGGCTCATTTCCACCATCGAATGTGAATTAAATCACGGACCGGCTATTCCTTTGTGTGTAACTGTGCTGGGGATTGCAGCTCCTGGCTGAAGGAGTTTTACTCCTGCTAAATCCTGTGGGCAACTCAAACGACCCCTTCAGACCCAGAGGAGGGGGGAAGAAGTGGGAATTTGCTCGTACACTTTAAGCTGCTGGGGAGCTCATCTTCTGAGGAGGTCCGAGAGTGGCGAGGCCAAAACTGACAGCCCCCAAAAGCGTCAGGTGGAGGCAGATGCAATGCAGTGAGGGGCTGAGTGGGCACTTGGGCGGCTGGCAGGATTGCTCGGTGCTGTCAGGCTGCCTGTTGGGTGATGGTGTGTGTGTGTTTAATCTGTGTGCAGCAGCTCAGAGGTTCCCAGGTGCTGCTCCTGCTCACTCTCTGAGCTGCTGGCCCATCGCCCCCGTTGTGGGGAGCAGCTGGGGCTGGAGGTACTGCAGCAGAAGTGTCCTGTCTGCTGTCACACTCACTGCTGCAAAGGAAAGCAGTTGGCTTTTGGCTTTGGCCTGAAGCTGGGCCGCGCTGGAAGGAGCTAAACTCCCTGCCAAACCCTTAGCTTCTGCCTGGCTTTTTGTCTTGGAAGCTTCTTGTAATGGAAACTCCTGTCTCCTGCAGCAAGAGCAATGGCTCCTCTAAGAGCCAAGGCTTGATGTTGTGCTCTTTGCAGCTAAAACAGCTGCACTGCCTTTCTCTACTGCGTTTTGTGTACTTCTATTAAACTCTCCAAGCAGAGTGCTTGTGGCTTGCTCTTTCCTGAGCCCTTCCTGGGTGGGCAGTGCTTTGGAGCAGCACCCTGCTGCACCGGTGCCCTTAGCAGAGCTGCAGCCACCCCTTGTCTGCCCCGGGGCCACAGACCGCCCTCTGCTCATTTGGTTTCCTTCACTTGAGCCCCTGCAACTGCTTGCAATGCTTCCTTCAGCCCCAGCGCCCCTTTCCAGGGCAGTTCCCTCTTAAGGTCAGGAGATGCTCCTCACTGGATATCAGGAACAGGAGGTTCCCTAAGGGGGCGGAGCTGTGCTTGGCCTTTTGGGAGGTGGTTTCATACCTGCTACCTTTGTTCTTCTGCCCCTTCCTTGGCTGCTTCATTTGAGCTGTGGTTTCCTCATTTCTAGTTGCATTAGTGTAGGTGCTCTTAGAAAACTTGATATTGTTTTCCCCACGTTTGGGGACATTCAAACGCGGCCGCCGATGTGTGTGGGTTGGTGGCAGCACCGACTTGAGGCCCTTACATGAGAGCTGCTTGTGCTGCAGAACCCATGAGGAGCAGGGACTGAATGCAGCTCAGCTCCCAGAGCGTCCAGCAGAGCCTCTACAACCTGCACAGCCTCACCTGTGGGCTGCGTTTGGCTCCAGCAGAAAAACCTGTTGTGAGCAAATGCCGGGCAGCCGTGGGGCAGTTCCTGCTGTGGGGCTGCTGCTGGGGCAGGCGCTCAGGGCTGCGCTCAGGGCTGCGCTCCCTGGGTCTGTGAGTCAGGCTGGATCCAGAGCTCTGGGGCTGTGCTGCCCTTGTGTGTCTCTTTTCTTTAGTCAAATTAACCGTTTGGTTGTCTGTGCAATATTCTCTGTTTGGAACTATTCCACATCTCCCTGAGCCTTTTCTAGCTGGGGTGAAAAACCAGGAACAATTCTAACAGCTGGTAGTTTTGTAACAATGACTTTCTCCAAACCTTTTACAGACTTGCAGTTAACAGCAATTAAAAGAATTCAGCAGTCACCACCTGTGTCCTCATTTCTTTTGCCTGTTGTGGGCTGGGGACAGCTGCCTCCAGAGGATCAACCGCTTTAAATTTCTATTTGCTTTGCTCCCCCTCACCTCAAGGAAAGTTTACTTAGTGGGGAGGGGGATGGGGACGAGGACATGCGGGTGGATCTGCTTGGTCTGCTCTGTTCCCTGCTGCTGAAGGCCAGGGGCTGTGAGGGAGCGGGTAAAAATGGCCGGGTGTGAAACAGACCTCGTCTCCGGCAGCAATCGTGAGGCTGAATTAGCAGGAAACACTGACATCCGAGTTTATTGGCATCCTAGAAGCAATTCCTCCCTGCGGGACAGAGTGGGGCGAGCGCTTCTCAGGGTCTGGCCAGCCAGGGGTGCCTGCTGAGCCGCTCCACCGAGGGCCGCAGGACCATGTCTGGTTCCAGGAGCCTTTTCAGGAGGTCCTGGCACGACCTGGAGACCCGCAGGTGCCTGGGCAGGGAGACGCCTTTCTGCTGCTGGCACAACATCTGCGGGATGTTGGTGTCGTCGAAGGGCAGCTGGGCGCACAGCAGGACGTAGAGGATGACGCCCAAGCTCCAGATGTCGACCTTGCGGCTGTCGTGAGGCACTCCGTGCAGCACTTCGGGCGCTGCGTAGGCCATGCTGCCGCAGAAGGTGCGGCTCAGCTCCCGGCTGCCTGCAGGGAGCCGCTTGGCGAAGCTGAAGTCCGTCAGCTTCACGGTCTGGCCCTGCAGCAGCGCGTTCTCGCACTTGAGGTCGCGGTGAGCCACCCCGCAGCTGTGGCAGTACTGGATGGCCTCCACCAGCTGGCGGAAGATCGCCCTGGCGCGGTGCTCGGGCAGGGGACCCTTGTGTGCCACGTAGTCAAACATGTCCCCGTCCTCGGCCAGCTCCATCACCAGGTAGATCTTCCCCTCTGCAGACTCCAGCACCTCGTACATGCGGATGATGTTCTTGTGGTCCAAGCGCTCGATGATCTGCAGCTCCCGGGGCAGGAATTTCTGAATGAACTCTGCCAAGAGGAGGAAAATTCACTGTCAGTTCCTGAGTCGCTGAACTCCGGCACCTGGCCTGGCTGCAGCCACAGGGTGGGAAGGAGGGGAGGTTGTGCCGTGGGTGCCTGGCTCCTCACAGGACCCTTATTTGCAGGGGATCTGAGCTCTGCTGCTTTTGGCCGCCTGTGCAGTTGGAGGAGCCGGTTAAACCAACCCCCCCTGGGCTGTGGCCCCCCGGCTGCTCTGCACTGCCCTCAACACCTGCCTTCCCTGTCTGCTCTTAGGTGGAAAGTTTGGGAAACTCACTTTCTGGCAGGAATGAAAAGCTTTCAAGGAGGGATGGTGCCTCAGCCTGGAAGCTCTTTGAGGCTACTTCTTACCTTCTGGACTTGCACTCTTATCAATTATTTTAATTGCTACTTTCTTCTGGTGCTTATGGGAAAAGGCCTCCTTCACTTTGGAGTAAGCTCCCTCCCCAATGGTTTTGCCAAGCTGGTAGCCATTGGTAAGCAAAAACTCCTCCATGTTCTCTCACACACTGGGGCTGTTCAATCTCAGGTCTACCCCAGCAACTCTACAACAGCATCACAGTGGCCAGGGGACCCCCGTGCCCTCTGTTGGCATGCGTAGGGCCACCAGGCCCTGCTCATGCCCTGGTGGGAAGGGGCATCGAGGCACCTCCTGTGGCCTGGGCGTGCTATTGTGATGCAGCTGATGCTGTGTGAATCCCAGATGACGGATGTGATCCAGGTGGACGACCGCTCTGCCAGGCAGGGGGGGATCAGGCTGCGCTGAGCTCAGTGGGCACGGTGAGTAGGGAGTTCATGGCATGGAGGAATGCGGGGCGGGGGGCTGCCGGGGGCCCCACGTGTTCCTCTCCCACTTTCCTCGGGGCGGATCGGGGCGAGGCAGAGAGGCTTTCAGAGCCGGCGGTCAGAGAACACTTTGCTGCAGCAGGGAGGGGAGCCCAGGGCCGTGCCACGAGCTCTGTGCCGGGCTGCGCTCCTTCCCTTCCACTGCAGCCTCACATCTGAGCTGAGTTCGGCAGCTCCAGCGCCTGCAGCCCAACCGGGCCGGGCTCCTTCTCCTCGTGAGGGCGAGGCACGGCCGCAGCGAGGAACGCAGCCAGGCCCCGCGCCGCGGCTCACCTCGCTGACAGCCGCTTCTCCGCGCGCACAGACAGCCGAGCCCGGACATGAGCTCCCAGGAAGCGCCGCGGGCCCGGAGGTTCCCCATCGAGGCAGGCGATTGTCGCAGAGCGGCCACAGCGTTGGGGACACAGCAGCGGGTGGGCACCGCATGGACCGCGGGCAGGTGAGGGTCCGGCGGGGCTCCCCTGGTGCTACGCGCTGTGCTCTGCTGTCCCTGCGCTCACCCCGCTCTCCCTGCAGACAGCTGCGGCGATGCCCCGCGAACCACTGCCTGACGCTGCCCCACGTCCCCGTTGATGTCTTCATTGCCATGGGAGGGAACTGCCGGCCACGCAGCACCTGATGCCGCCGCGCCACGCGGCCCGGGAGCAGCGAGGGACGCGGATCCTTTATGCACTTTGTAAAGAAAGGACATCCTACAGCGTTTCCGCGCCTGCTGTCCTCTCTGGGTCACCGAGCCGCGCGTGGCGGTGCGGCTGTTCGCCCCCAACGGCTGCCCTGGGGTCTCGGGGCCGCCCGCTTCCGGCTCAGCGAGGCCGGGAGGGCGGGCTGGGGATGGGGAACGGGGAAGGGTTAGCTCCGGGGATGGGGCTGTGAGCTCCGGTTGGGGCTGACGAGAGCGGGGGTCAGGAGGGGACGGCGCTCGGGGGACGCGGACGGCGACAAGGTTCGCACGCGGGCGGTGAGGTTCGGCCCCGCCCCCTCGCATCGCCCCGCCCCCCCGCCAGAAAGGGGCGTGGCCTCCGCGTTTGGCGCCGCGCGGCTCCTCTCGGCCGCCGTCGGCCGCCCGCTCCCCGCCCTCCCGCTCCTGCCGCCATATTGTGGCCGCCGCCGCTCGGAGCCGTCGTCGGAGGAGCGTCCGCCCGGGGACCCGCGATGGGTGAGGGCGGCGGGGCCGGGCCGCGCGCTCGGAGCCGCGGTGCCGTCCAGCCGGGGCCGAGCCATCCGCACGCGGGCGGTGCCGGCCGCTCCCGTCTCGGGGCCGCGCACTGAGTCATCCCGGGGCGGCGGGCCGGGGGGCGGCAGCCGCGAGCGCGACCGTCGGAGGCGGCAGCCGCCGGAGCTCCGCGGAGCCGCGTGCCGCTCTCGGGCCTCTCTCGGCGCTCGGGGCGGCGGCGGTGCGGGCCGTGCTTCCGCGCGGAGCCGTTGGGCGCGGCCGCCGCTGTCGGTTTGCGGCTCCGGAGCCGTTCGCGTTCCGCGCGCTCGGAGGTCGGGGCGGTGCAGGGCTCTGTGCCGCCGCTCCCGTCTCTTGGCCGGCCGTTGGCGGCTCGGCGTTGTTCGGGATCTCTCGGCTGGGTGCGGCTGTGAGCGCTGCGGCGGCTCTGAAGGCTTCGTCCCGTCCTTCCTGGCGGCGATCGCCCAACGCCGTTCTCTTTATCGGTGTAACGTCGCTCGCTTTTAAGACGAACGAAGTTCGGGTTCTCGTTGTTCCCGGCGAACGGCCCCAGCTGCGGGGCTGCGCTGCCGGCCCTGCTGTGCTCTGGGCGCTCCGGCTCCTCCCGTTGCCGTGCGCTCGCACGCCCGCGTGTGTTCGCTCTGCTCTGCTGAACGGACCCGCGCAGCCGATGGATCCCGGATCCCGTTGGTTATTTGGCTGCTTTGCTTTGTTTGCTCGAGTTGAGGCGAGCAAACATGAACTTTGTGAAGGGGAGCTGCGCTGTTAATGGTGGTCGGTGTCAGAGCTGAAGTGCCCCTTCCTTCAGCACTGTGCTTCTGGTCTGTGCTGCTTGTGAGGTCTGGAGAAATGCACCGATGGAGCTCAGTGCTGGGTGCAGCTGCTGTAGAGCTCTGCTGGGCCGGCTGAGCTTCTGGGATGTTGCTGTGTTTGGCCGCTTTGAGTGGCTTTAGGACTCTGTAACGCTGCAGCCTCGGGTTTGAGGTGACTCAAAGTTAATCTTCATTGCAAGGAGTGTCACAGGGGCTCTCTGCCCCCTGACAGGAGGCTGTTATCCCTCATGCATCATCAGTGTGCTCCTAAGGGAGCTGAAGGCCCTGGGATGTGCAGAGAGGGCCTAAAGCTGCCAATCCCTGGCTCCAGGACTGTAGGGATAAGAGGAGGAGATGGAGCTGAAACATAAGCGGGTCTCACACAGCCAGGCTCGGAGCCGAAGGGCTGCCACTGTTGGGCTCAGCCTGGTGAAAGTCAGAGGTGCTGCAGCCCCAGTCCTTCCCCAGAGGATTCCTGCTCCCTCCCCCCGCAGCCGCTGGGCTCTGTGCATTCCAGTCGTGCTGGAATCGCTGCTCCCGGTGGCCAAAGCAGTGGGATGAGCCGGGCGGCCACGAGCCGTGCACATAAGTGTTTGGTTGGCACAGGCTGTGCTGCACACGGAGTGCCTGGCCTCGGCTGCATGCTGCGTTTGGAAGCACTCTGAAAGGGTGCTGCTGAGTGTAAGAAACACGGGAGGACGTGCGGTGGCGCAGAACTCGGGGCAGGCTGCTCCGGGGGGCTGTTCTGCAGCTCTGACACAGCCGGGGGAACGGCCTCACATTGCTGCTTGTTTGATGGCACTGCTTACAGAACTTCTTGTCCTCCTGCAAGCAGAACTTCTCAGCTTCCTTTTCCGTCATCTCCTAAGCAGTTTTGTGGGTCTCCCCCAGTGTCCTTTGCACTGCGAAACTATCAAAATTGCGGGGAGACAAAACAACGAGCTCCCAAGAACAAGTTTGTGTTCTTGGCTGATGTCTGGTGGCGGTTGGGAGCTGACCTTGTGCTGTGGGTGCAGGCAGTTCAGCTATCTGTATTTGCTGCTGCTAACTTCATTTAACTTGTATTCAAGGAGCACAGATTATTTAGGCTTCGCTTTCTGCGTTGCCAGCTGAAATCATTAAAATGCTGTGGATGCAGCTTGGAAGGGAATCCCCTGGTCAGGTACCGGGTCTGTAGCTGCTGTTCTGCAGAACCTTTATGCTGTGGTGTAAAACAACTGCTTCAACATCACTTTAAGAACCAACTAAAGAAAAATGTGATGTAAAGTGCATTAAATCTGAGGTTCAGAACAACTTTTGTCTGTTACTTCTCAAACTTCAGCAACTGCAGCAGGTGAGCACATGAACCAGAAGCTGTCATGGGTACCTGCGGAAGATTGCCCTCGTTAAGGGTGTTTTGGCTTTAAAAAAATAATAGAAAAAGCCATGTCAAATCTCAGTGTAACTGTTTCTGTTCTGCCCCTTCAGTCTGACTCAGCAGCACCAGTCCTGATTTAGGCATGCGAGTTCCTGCAGTGACTCAGCTGGGAGCTTTAATCAGCAGCTGAAAAACTCTTTGAAGCCAATGCTTTCTGTAGTGCAGGGCGGTGGGAGGAAGGTCATCTGCAAAGAAGTGAGGTTGGGTTTCTGATTCAGTAATGCTAAGAAGCTGTTACAATGTTGGTGGGGCAGTAGAGACCCTGGATTTGCTTTGTGGCTGAATGCTGTGGTTGGTGTTTGGCTTCGACGCGGGTGCTTGTAGTCTGAGTGCTCTGCTGATCCCTGGTCCAACTCCCACCCTGCTTTTCCTTCTCCCATGGGTGATAAACACGTTCTCATCGTGCAGTATGTGGTAAGGAGGAATGGCTGCGAGGGAATTCTCAGCTCACAGGATGCTTGAAATCATTCCCAATATGAATTATCTTGATTAAAGCCTGGCTTTGATTTAAGTGTGCTGGTTTTGATCAATGATTTGATCCCAGAACTTGTCCAGCAGTGCTGTTGGTCAGGTAGGCTTGAGCTCAGCTTGTTGCCTGCACAGTTCTGGGGCTGGAAATCCTGCTTCCGTTGAAGAGACGATACTGGGAGCTCGGCTGGATGAGTTCTGAGCAGTGAGCAGCTGCAGGCTCTGCCACAGGGGTTTGTCTGCAGCGCAGCCTGCGTGGTGCAGCCCAGCTGGAGGGGCTCCTCAGGTCGCTCTGGTGGGGCTGCAGCCCCGGTGCTGCGGGAGGAGCAGCTTTGTGCTGAGCTGCTGCCGAGTGCTGCAGGTACAGCAGAGCCAGGACCTCTCCTGGAATGGCATCAGAACAGTTCTGTAACTCAGGGCGTGGGCTGATACTATCTGGATTTAAGGCAGGGCTTTGTTGGCTCTTAGAGAAAAACCTTCCCTAGGAGAGGTGCGGTGTAATCATACTGGTTTGATTGGCTGCCTAAATGCAGCTAACAGAAACATACTTTAATAGGCTTCCACAGCCACCTTAACCAGGAGCTTCTCTGTAAAAGGAGAAATTTCTCAGAGCAGCATTTTGTATATGAAGTCACACAGTGGAAATGTGTGGCTTGAGAATTGTCGGTGTCACACGGAAATGAGGGGGTGATTGCTTTTCCTAATCAGAAAATCCCAATTATTCTGCCACTGTGATTCGGTGGCATCGCTGTGTGGGTGTTCGCACTGGGAGGGCTTGAGTCAATAGGTAACGCTGCAGAAGCCTGACTGCAGGTGTAGAGGATGCACAAATACTACAAGTAAAGAACTGGATCGTGCTTGGTGCGCTGCTGTGTTTTGTTTCGTGTGTTTGCACTTTGCTTCGCAGTCTGGTGCCTACAGCATCTGCTGAGCTCACAGCAAAATCACAATCTTGCATCTGTGACATTCATCAGTTGCCATAGAAATGGAATGTATTGTAACAAACTGTTGTTTTGACACTGTCAGAGTAGTGAGATAGATGGTGGGCTGGAAAAAGTCAATGGGAAGAACCTGAAGAGAGAAATGTGTGCAAGATAAGGAGAACCAAGAGCCCACAAGGTGCTGCGTGCTGGTGTGCGGCGGCCGTACAGCTGGCGTGCAGAGATCCTCCTTGGGCTGGCTGGGGCCTTTGGCTTTCCGTGCAGTTCCAGGTGGCTTTGAACGCTGCTGAAACCCAAAGACTGGATATCTGCCATGCAGCTCTGAGCCCGCAGCCTCAGCTGTGCTGCTGTGCTGCTGTGCAGTGTGAGTCGTGCGGCTGTGGGCAGCTGAGCTGCCATGTGGCACCAGGTTTGCGTGGCCTGACTGCATCACCTGCGCCGTGCGAAGCCTCTGAATCGCTTTTTGCTCCTCCTTTTCTTAAAAACTACCTGTTCATTGTAGGCCTTGCCTTCCAAAGGGAATTAGGAAATTTGTCTTTATTAGGGTTAAGTAAAAAGCCTTTTCCAAATCAAGCTGTCGGCTGCTGTGTCCATTTGCTGCACTGACCAGAGGATCTTGATTTGCGGCGGTTGTTTCTTTATCCGCTGTTTCTCACAGGAGTGTCCTTGGTATTTTAGCTAGGGAAGGGAATGCTATCTTAAAAAACAAGTCCTGTGAAAAGAGAAGGGTCTTTTCCTTGATGTTCAGTGTCTCCAGTTCTTGAAAACCTCCTGAAAGTGTTTCCTCTTATGCTGATGTAGGAATTCTTC